GACACAAGATGCATATTTTGCAAATGCTGACTTCATTCGCTGTGCTTTGAAGACACAAGCACAACTGCCTGATCATCACGTTGACACTGGTATGCGGTGGCCCCACTGTTCTCAGAAAACTTCCTGATCACAGAAGGTTCAAACCCAGCTGCTGCTGGGACTAGTGTGCTCTCCTGCCAGAGAGCTGATGTGCAATCTGATTTTGCAACCTCAGGGCCAGGAAGTTGGATTCGGCCCAGAATTTGTTGGATTATTTCAGATTTTTAGGGAGTTTTCTCCTCTCCTTGATTAATGTGTAGGCCTAATCAAAAAATCTTAAACATCACATTTTTTTAAAATCAATAAACCAAATAGCTGATTTTAATATTGAAATAACATGTGCCACAGCCCCCTTGTCAGCGCAGGGACAGGGTCTTCTGCACCCGCGGACGGACCTGGCTTTCCCGCCAACCGTTTGATAAGTAATGCTGCCGCCTGGCGGTCTCCCGGAGAATCCCACCCTGACAGGCCACAGCCTCCGGCAGACACGTTTTTAGGTTTATGTGAGATTCACTGCGTTTGAACTGGGTTTAACCGTCGCTTGAAATACGAATTTAACTATCTTTGAAAAATGTCTTTTTCACAGGTGTGTGTCTTAAAACCACTGTGTGGCAAACAATAGGTTTGCTCATCCAACTGCATGCCTTAAATGGGAGCAGTTCTTTGTATCGATTATACCTCAGCATATTAGCTGTCTTAAAAATAAGTAAATAAAATAAGAAGAAGATTATGACAAATAATGAAACACCTCCTTTGTAAAACTACAGTGCAATTGTAACAAATGCAAACCTTCACAGGTATCTTCTGGGGAAAGTGGAGAAAAACTGGGGGTGATTAGTGTCCAAGAGGTATAGCTTTTGACCACAGAACCTCTAGAATCATAAACTCAAGGATTCATGCATGTGTTCCATGGAAACCTAAGTGACATTTTAACTCATGTCAGGAGCTTGACTCACAAGAGAGGCCAAATGGCTTCTTCATGTACTTTAAATTTTTGTGTTTCCACAAAGGTAAAAAGTAGAGTGTTTGCTATTTGCACAAAGACAGATTAAAGCACTTTCTGAGCACTGTTACGTAACCTACACGATTCTCTGAGGTGGTGTTACTGATGCTCATCCCATTGTCATTGTCACAAGAGGAACTGTGGCTTGGGGAAGTTGACAAGGCAAATGAGTTCTGGACCCAGAATACAAACCAGACTGTCTGATCTCAGGGCCTCCAGAAAAGGAAATTTTTTCCTTGGGGCCACAATGTTTTATTACAAAAATAGAATAAAAACTTTGAAAACAAAACATCCTTATTAATTTGATGAAAAATCTGTTATTTTTTATTGTTTTCTGTGTATGAGTTATGTGCAACTTGGAAAAATGGTTCCTGTGGCTCCCAAGGTAAAGAGGCGTGTGAGGTACATATGCTTCACAACACCCAGGCTCGAAACTAGCATGGGTTAAATGCAACTCACATGGCAGTTAATGCATTAAAACTCTACTGTAGACCCTCTGTTCAATGCCTGTTGACTGCCTAGATTGCCAGATACTTTGGCCAGTTACACCATCTCATATTTTAGTGACATCTCACTTTTGGTATCTTGAGGGAGAGGTTTCTTCTTGTTGTTGTCATCAGTCTGCATTTAGGTCTCACTGAGGACGTTTGTCCCGTCCTCCTTCACTGAGGCATCTGTGTATGATATTCTGAGGAGACGACTTGTCCAAACATGTCTCTGAAGATTATTTGAATATGCTCGGTGCTCATCCAGAAGCAGCATGTCACAGCAAACTCGGCTCCTTGTGCCGGGCCAGGCCCCTGCTTCTCAGACTGTAAGGTGCATTCAGATCACCTGGGAACCTTGCTAGCATGCGGGGCCTGAGATTCTGCATTTTTATCTAGATTTCAGGTAAAGCCAATGATGCCAGTCGTTGGACCATACTTTAAGCTGGGAACTAAACTACCAAGCTTTTCTTGGGTTGGGAGAGAATCTGCTTTGATTTCAAAGTCAAGGAAAAAACCTACCCCATAATGTTCTCGTTTTCCCAAGTTTTTATGTATCTGACCATAAAAATCAGGTTTGATATAAACCCAGTCACACATGTTTATGTTTCGAAATAAAGGTACCTATAAAAGCTGTTTTAAAAATAAATTCTTTCCATTTGAGTCCGAAATCGATTGGTTCAAACATTTTTTCTTCTTGGCTTCAAAGTTTTTGAAATTTATACCTCTACTATAGTTGATATCATGGAATGTCCGACTTGAAACTTCTAGAATCGTCTGGCTATCAGAGAGCTGCCCGACCTCCAGTCCCAATTGGGGAGGACAGGTATAAGACCTCTTTGATCAGTATAAGCTAAATCCAGAACTTTGGGGATTAAAGAAACTAAAATCAGATTTTAGACTTTGGAATTAGCTCCTTGACCTGGTGCTGTTGTTATAGTAAAAGCCAATTTAGGAGTTTCCTGGGTCTATTCAGAGCTCCCTTCGAGGTACCTTTGTTTCTACGCTCTTCCATTCCTATCAGTGTCACTCGTCTTTGCTCTAACAAGGAGACATATCCTGTTTAGTACAGAGGCAAATGTAAAATATCTCCAGATCAAATCACACAGAGTGAAATGAATGAGAGTGTCAGAAAATGACCATTTTCAAACAAAACCAGGAATGTTACTGCCTCCCAACACAATATAAGTGACCTAAATGATGTTACTCAGTCTAGGAATGCATTAAGAGAAGGGCTGGGCCCGGCACGGATGAGGTGATGGGCTTCCTCTTCTTCGTACTGGCAAAGCCATCCTGGGCAGGGTAGTGCTCACGCGTGTGCGTGTGAGAGCAGGGGTGGTCAGAGAGGTCGTGGTGCAGCAAACGAAAGGGTCGTCAGGACTTATGAGAAACAACGGGAAAGAGCGACAGGTTTCAAAAAGGTAAACCGAGATGGTGAGGGAGCTTCGAACTGTGTTATGACGTCAAAGAAATAGAGGGATTTACTTTGAAGTGTGCACACGTGGGCCCTGCAGTGGACGTTGGTAAGATCTACTGATGGTGGATGGGTGGACGGGTGAATAGACAAAAAGACAGACAGACTGGCTATTTTTTGAATATATTCTACATGCTGAACACTCTGCATATACTAGGTGTTTTCATTCTCCAAACAGTCTTTTAACTTAGTATCATCCTCATGTGAAAACTGGTAAATATGAGGCATAGAGAAATTAAGTGACCTGTCCAAAGCCATTGACTGGGGGACCCATGCTTCGTGCTCTTAACCTCCAGTTTATAACCCTGTGTGACAGACAGGGAGGTGCACTCCTCAGTCTCCCGCGAGGACATGACTCCGGCCAGTGGCAGAGGAGTGGAGTTGGCTGACGGGCTCCAGCGCTGTGTCTGAGGATGCCCGGCCGAGGACGGAACACGCAGGCATCGTGGGCTCTGGACATCTCTGCCATCGTCTGGGGCTCCTCTAACGGGCTGTCTTTTCTCTGGAGCTCTCTTGTCACAGGCTGTGTCAGATCAGCATTGAGATCTGAGGCTCACTGGCCCAGTTCTGCCTGCTCCCCTCTTCCATCCATTACAGGAATTATTCTGAGCCAACTCTTCTCCCTCCAACGTCCATCTCAGCATCCGCTTTGCAGAGAATCCAACTGACAAACCCTGCCTTCGAATATTGGGAGAGCTGTCACACGGAAGAGCATTCAGAATTGTTTCCTGTAGTGCTATGGGGTTGAATTAGGACAAAATGACTGAACTACTAGGAAAGCAACTTTCACAACACATAAGGAAGAACTTTCTAACAACTAGAACCAAACAACGGGCTGGGCTGCCTACACTCGGGCCACTGGAGAGCCGTTTATCTAGGAAGGTCGTGTGGCTTTACCACCCCCACCCCACCTAGGATGCTAAACATCCACAATGCTAATTGCTAAGCAAAAGAAACCAAATTGTTTAGGACGTCACACCAGAAAGCCCAAACCTCTGATTTTTCAGTGTTTCCAAAAAAAAAAAAAAAAAAAAAACCATTGTATCTGGTTTGATACATCATGCTTGTGCGCTCCCGGCGCAGTTCAGTGGTACCTTAAAGCCAGATTAGCCACTGTCCATATATTTTTATTTTTTAATCGGAAAGTTCGTAGCAAGTGAGTTAAGGCTGTGGGTTAATTGTCCTCATGTACTGTTTGTGAGATGAAAACCAAACTTCACATGTGCTTATATCAAATGCACTGAAATATGGGGTTCCACATCTGACGAAGCTCTAGTGACTCCCTCCACCGGCACGTGATTCTCAAGCCCGTTGACTTGCACCCAACAGCCAGAGAAAGGAGGGGACACAGACGAGCCCCTTGCAAAAATTTCATGACGGCCAGACTATATATGCAATTATACACTTCAGAGAGTAGAATAAGAGGCGGAGGCAACTGGTAGGAAATCAGCAGCGTAACCAGCATGGGGGTTACGCCACGCACGTAAGGAGGCGTTCGGGAGGTGCGCAGATGCTCACTGAGCACCGCTAGACTTTCTCGCAGGTGCTGGATGTAGGACGTGCCTGGCAGAGTCGCTAATGCCATGTAGTGTACATTTCAGTGCCATTGAGAAACTTGGCGGACCCTTCACTGAGAGGAGCAATAAAGCCACAGGCCCCCACAGGAATCCTAAAGAGAGTGCCTCCGAGCCTCCAGACTGACATCTTTTTCCTCTCTCCCTACCCTCAAATTTCTCCCGCATCTGGCACCTAGAGTCTACATTTTCAAGAAATATTTGATTATAGTGCTCTGAAACAAATTCATGAAGTTTGTAAGAGAAGTTAAAGAAAAAGCAAGCTCAGCAATATTTGGGGGCTCTTAAAACTGATGATGCAGCTGACCTACTGCAGACGAGGGCAGTGGGAGGGCCCCTACTGGTGTAAATAAATAGGACTCTCTGGTACTGCAGCCCCACAGCGTGGGCTCAGAGCCGAAGTCTGAACTCCACCTCTCGGCAGAATGAGCGTCCTCCCAGCATCGCTGCTTCTCCTGCTGCTGGGCAGCAGCCTCTCTCCAGTCCAGGGTGAGAACTCGCACCTACGTTTTCACTGTCCTTTGAATAGAAAGTGTTCAGCCATTTCGATTTCTTTCAATTATTTGTGGAGGAAGTCTGACTAACGGGGAAAAAACCTTCTCAGTTGCTTCTAGATTTCTAAACGTAAGGTGCTTAGAAACTGGAAGCATTTATATGGTTAAGATGTTTATTCACTGGAGGGGGAGACAGTGGAAGGCCAATGTTCATGCGACTTGTATATTTAGCCTGTATATTCCTGGGCTTTCTCAGATCCAGCTGCTGTATAACTAATTTTTGACATGTATCTTTTCTTTGTTCTGCCTCTCAAGGCTACCCCTCTGACTAAACCCTTTATAGGATTTAGGGATAATTGACCTCAACCAGTCTCTTGCAGGGAACGTTCTTAATGCAGTTCCATGTGGTCAGATCTGATGCCAACCATCGTAAGCACACCAGGGGGACTCGGGCACATACTCTGCAAAGAAGCAGATTTCCAAGTCTCAATGGGGCAGCTGTCTGTGTGTAAATAGAGAAATATCTAGTTGCAATGCTAAGTTTTTATGTGGCTGAAGGAATAGATGATTGTGCAGAAAGAAATGCTCTGCTCAGGTTTAGAGGACAAATTTTGTTTTTAAAATGCAGAGAGGTTTTATTCCTCTTAATTTTTATTTTGCTTCATATGTTTTCACTCTTCAAGACCCTCATTTCTGTCCTCCTCCAAGAAGCTTTCCCACTGCTCCTGGCAAAGTCGGCTACTAGTAAGTCTTCTGTCCTCAGGACGCAGTGCAGACCTTGTGTGTAACACAACCTGCTGTCGCATTTTAGTCTTTGTTCTCTTGCCTCCCCCACAAAATTGTAATCACCTTGAGAGTTGGGCCTTTTCATTTATAAATACTTGTCAAGCATGGTAGTAGGCACTCTAGATAAAGAGGATTCAATACATGGTTCTTTAAAAATCCACTTAGTTCATGCCCATCTCTCGTATTTTAATGGAATCTAATGAATCTAATGGCACCATGCAGTATTAATAACTTTTGTTGTTGAATAAAAATAGTGTTGAATTTTTATTGTTGACTTTTGTTTGGTGACGATTTGCAACCGAGACGGAGGGCCAACATATTAAACCGAAATTTAAAAAAGCATCTTTCATGGCATCTTCTCAGAGAGAGGGGGAGGTGGGGGGAGTATGATAAGAGAGAGGATTTGGGTACCGCGTGTTATTGCCCCCAGGACTCTGTGATCAGGTCATGCCTTTGGTTTGTGCGTGTTGGGAGTGAAGAGGATCAGTTGATCTTATGTTGCATTAATTATAATTGAGTTGTAAGTCCCTACAAAGGCTGTTCTCAAATTGTATTATATGGACAATCATCTGAGTACCAATATAATGCTATCACAAATTCAGTAAGTGTTATGTTTTTAAAAAGCTCATTTTATTTTTAAGGTTTTGATAGAAAACATTGAAAACCTCAAGCCAAGACAAACAGAAATATGCCAACTAAAGGCATATGAGTGGAAGCACTGACTTGAAATTTTTAAATCTTCAAATGCAGTATGAAAGATTAATAATCAGGCTCCAGTCGTGAGTTACATGCCAAAGGGGTGACAGTCACTGACTCTGTGTTCACAGGGGTTCTGGAGGCCTATTACACAAACCTGAAGTGCAAATGCATCCAAGAGATCTCGGACTTTGTCCACCCACGCCTCATTGATCAGCTTCAAGTCCTTCCCCGTGGGAACGGTTGTGCAAAGACAGAAATCATGTAAGTTGCAGGGAAAAAATAGCTATGATTTCTTTCTTCCAATGAAGATCTGACCTAATTCTACCCTATAGTATTCTTACTCACAAATCTCGAAGAGATTTACTTAAGTGTTGCTAAAAATTCTCAAACTAAGAATGACAATTGTTAATCTTTAAGAAAGTGCTTTGCAGCAGCTCCAGTCGAGTGCCCCGCAGGCGTGCACGCGCTCATTTGTTCCTGCGCCAGCTTTATTAAGGTCTGCTGTTGTCTTTTCCAGGCACGGAAACTGGGGCGGGGGAGGGAGGTTAAGTAACTGCCGGAAGCCCACCGGCCAGGTCACCGCCCATGCCAAAGCCTCTTCTCCACAGCACCGGGCAGCGGCAGGCAGAGCGTCTTTCCCAGGGCAGCCCTGACTTGGCTTCCACTGCTGGCTATTCCCACGAACTGTTTTAGGCTTTCGGAATGTTTGTAAGCAGCTACTTTTTGTTTGTCCCATTTCGATACCAGTGCTTTGGGCCTTGGACCAATCGTATTCAATTTGTAAACAAGAAATATGGGACGTAAAAAAGTATGGAAATTTTTTATTAAGAAGGCATTATACTTTCCCTAATGTCTTTACCAATAAAAGTCCTAACAAAACCGCAATGATCACCCCCAAACTCAGAGAATGTGAAGTCTAGCCATGGCCTATTTGGGAGGAGTTCCTCTGGCTGTATAAAACGCTGGACTCCTTTCTTTTGATTTGATCTCCTCTGTTATGACTCAAGTCTCTCACCTCTCAACCAAGGGAAATAAATTTTGTCTGCTTTAACTACAATCGTTTTGAAATGATGAAAAGTCGATTGCATATCTTCTCATCAAAGTCTGCATTTCTGAATTTTAACCAGATATAGGAATGAAAGCTGCAAATTATGAGAAACTCATACCAGTGAGGGGTGAAAATACTGTGAGTCCAGATGGCTGGATATCTGTTTTTCCATCATGAGCTCAGAAACCCAATGGAAGGTTCTGCCCAAGAACCTGTTCCATGCCCTCTGACCTGAGATTCGCTTATGAGGGTGGAGTTTCAAAGTTAGATCAATGGATCCTTGCTGTTTACCATTCTGTAGCCGAGAAAATGACACATCAAGAAATTGTGTGTTGTTTGAGGTCTCCCAGTTTCCCATCCTACGGGAGGCCTCACGCTTCTGTTTCAGTTATAAAGCACTTAACACCACGTCTGGCACTTGGTAACCGTGCAGGCCACGCTCAACGAGAGCAGCGGCCAGAAGTGTGGGCTCCGGAGTCAGATAGACTTCACCTGAGCCCTGCTCTGTCACGCATTTGTGTACAATCTTGGACCAGTTATTTCAACTCTCAGAGCCTCAAGTTCCTCATCAAAAGGTGAGGAAACCATAGTTCCTCCAGCACAGGATTTTGTGAGATGAGTTGAGATAATCCATGTTACCGGCTGAGCGTGGTGCCTGGCACGTTGTAAGTACTTGATAAATATTAGCTATTAGCTGTCGTTGCTTTTGCGATGACCTAATTTCTTAGAGCTGGGAAAGCCTCGCTGATGCAGACGCCACTCAGAGCAACTGATCTGCAGCTCCCTGCCTCCGCCCATTACATTTCTTTGCATTTTTTTTGGATAAAAGGTTCTCAAGAGAGTTTTCCATAGCCTTTTTTGTTCTCCCAACCAGAATGGACAAGCACATTTTAAAGATATTGTGATATAAATTTAGAAGTGAGCCAACCTTGGAGTCGGCTATTTGGCGCTTCTCCAACTCGTGTAAATGTTATCAACAAAACGCGAACCTCTGACCCGGGACATTCTCTCAACTCTGGACGCAGCTCCGCAGCTCCGCGGGCTCACACACACTCCTCCACAAACGGTTTCTTATTCCTCAGACCCCAGGCTACAATCACCTATTGCAAACACAGAACTGCCTGGCTCCAATTTCACTTCATCTAGGAATAATTATTCTCCTGCCCAACTCTTTTCTTTATTAAAAGTACAGGATTAACTAAAATATAACACTATTTTTATTTTTATCCTCCTCTCCCCAGACTCTGGATGAAGAATAAGTCTGTTATATGCGTGAATCCTCAAAGCAAATGGATACAAAAAATACTGAAAATGTCACACAAGTAAGTGACATATACCAGAGGCTTTCAGACTGCAATTTGTACTGAAGGGTTTCCCTTTCCTGGGTGGTCAAAATGGGGACCATTTTGAATTTATGAGGAGTTCCTAAGACAAATGCCTGCTTTTCACTGTCATTACTTATCACATAGAGCAGGGGTGGCTCATTCCAGAAGCTCAGTCAATTAAACTGGGAGCCAGTATGCATAATGTTCCTTGTTTGCTATCTCCAGGGGAAAGCCACAGTTTCTTGTGGGTATTTCTCTAAATATGACTTTTTTTGTTTTTGTTTCACAGAAAAAAGATGTTTTCAACTCCACCAACTCCAGTGATTAAGAGAAGGATCTCCTGATGCCAATATTCCCACTAAGAACACCTGCATTCTCCCCTTCTCCCTGCTCTGGACTTTAGTTTTGTGCTTGGTTGAATCTTTCCCAAGAAAATGAACTTCTCCATACAAATGAGTGCGAGAATGCATGTAAAAATCACCCTAGATGCTGGTGGGGCAAACTCAAGCTTCTTCACATGTGGTACCCTATATACTCGGAATTCACATCCTTATTCATTAGGGAGGAAAGTTTCCTTGAGAATAGTTATTTAGTTCTAAATCATATAGCATTATTTTGTTAATACACCTGTTGTTTAATGCTAAACTTTCCTAGAAAATAAGGGAACGAGAATTTAAACCTCAAATCTGAACATGTGGCTTGAATTAAGAAAACCATGGAATGTATTAATATTTCAATCATTTTACACCATAAGAAAAGCAGGCTTCCACGAGAGACCGACAGCCGCTCAGGAAACTGGTGGAGCTTCAGCCTGACAAGAGACAGAGCCCTCCGCACAGTAAATGTCTCTGTTTAAAAACTAACTATTGAGGAGAATGGGGTCCTTCTATTTTTAAAGAGTTCCTTTATATGATTTATTGTCTCAAATTAACAACATTTGAAGATCCCCAGACTTAAATTCACAGAATACTCAGGAAAAGCATGTAAAGGATGATGTATGGATGTTTTCTTTTATACATGTGCCTTGACAAACTTTTTTACTCACATCTTTTGCACAGACATTTTTGTATTTGTCTCATATCAAAATGTTGAATGATTTCTATCAATCTAATGCCATTCAATCAACTTCATCAAACATTTTAATTGTGCGCAATTTATCTTAACATAGCATTTACTCAAATGTAGACATTCTCTGGCTCTTCACAATGAAAATTCGGGTTTTATCAGGTTAATTTTTCTTTGCCTAACCCTTGCCTGTTACAGATGATCTACAATTATATGGCAACAAGTGAGTGAAGTTATTCCTGATAGTAACACAGTGGGAAATGCATGGCTACAAGGGCTTCTCGCCCCTAATACTACCACCTGCTAATCATATTTCCTCCAGACTTCAAACTCTTACTCAAATCCATTTTCACTGTCTCATTATATTGATTCTTAAAGTTTCCAATGTTTCATTTGACAAAGTTTTGCATTGAGTTTGACAAACAGAAGAAGGCGACTTTGGACTCCGGTCCCCTTCCAGCCTGGTGTGTCAGCCTGGTCTCCCGGCCACTGCGCGGAGCCCCCGCCGGTCCAGACCCTCACCTTACCCCGCTGCTTCGGGGGGTCCATTCCCAGCACACCTGGGTTCTAAGCTGCACCTTCTCCCTCTTTCATTTTCCTTTTTATTTTTTGATTTGTTTTGATTAAATGCATTTCTTGGGAGAAAATAAAAGCACCTATCAATACTGTATTTTCTGTTGTCTACAATTCAACATTTTTTTTATTACGAACACACACACACACGCACACACACACACACACACAAAGGACTTATAAAATGTCATCAACATCCTCCATTACAGTGTTTTTCAGATTGCAGTGTTGAGAGCTCAGGGATCGCTTCATTCTTTTTAATTTGATTTTGGTCTTCTTGGAGAATGTACTTACACAGATACTCAGTGGCCTCAAATAAGAAATACTGTTTCACATGTGGCAGCTACTATTATCACACCAATCCAACAGCTCCAGAAGCTGGGACACAGAGTGGCTAAGTAGCTTGTTCAAGGCCTTACAGCTACTAAATGACAAGCCAAAGTTCAAGTCCAGGCAATACGGCAACAGAATGCACGCTTCTAGCTGCTACCCGGTGCTGACTCTGCAGCAGGTAGATGTCACCAGTAGAAACTGAGGCAGAGACATTTTCTTGCCCCAATTCATGGAGCTAGTCAGAGGCAAACCAGCGTTCAAACCCAGGGCCATCTGAGTCCTAAGGAAATGCTCTAACTCATTCCACTAGACCGCCTAGAGTCTTCTCTTCCCAAAGTGTATTTCTTCCCTCCGTTCCCTTGCTCACCCTCCCTTCCAAGGTCAGGCAAAGCCAGGGGAAGGGTGGGAGCTCCAGGACGTTCGGGCCTCCCTGGCTTGAGACATCCTCTCCTGGGGGATTGGGCAGCGGACAGGGCAAGTGTGGAAAGAGAAACCGAAGCGGGGCCCGCGAGGGCTTCGAAGCTCGCTTTTCTTAGCACAGGAGCGCCCGTGCCTCAAAGTCAGAGTGGATTTGGGGGTGCTCATCCCACAGTTAGACGTGAGATAACTTGTCCAACCTGTTAGTGGAGTGTCTGGGGAAAAGTGAGCTTTTGTAGATGTGAGTGGGTTTGGGTCTGGAAAGGAAGAATTGCGGAAAGTAGGCAGAACTTGGGTAAGGTATGACTCCACACATACACAAATTAGTCAAAACTCAAAGTAAAATAGAACCGAAGGGAAACACAAGGTAACGCCGACCCTCACAGGCCGTTCAGCTCCGGGAAACCGAGCGAAGGCGCCAGAGGCCGGGCAGCGCCGGCTCTCCTCGTGTCGGGCCGCAGGCGCTCGCGCCCATCCGACGGCAGAGGCCCCGGAGGGGACGGTCCTGCGCCTGCAGCCGGCGGGGCTCAGCCCGGCCTCCCGCGAGGTGACTCGCCGGCGGGTGAGCTCGGTCCTGTGCTTCCGTCTCCGTCACGTTTCCTTCGAGGCTTCCCTGCGTGCGACATCCCTGCGAGGGACGTCGCTGCCGTGCGGCGTCCCTGCCGTGCGTCATCGCTGCCGTGCGATGTCCCTGCGTGCGACATCCCTTTGTGCCTCGTCGCTGCCGTGCGACGTCCTTGCCATGCTGTGCCCGGCGTGCATCGTCCCTGCGTGCGTCGTCCCTGTGTGCGTCATCGCTGCCGTGTGATGCCCCTGCGTGCGACGTCCTTGCGTGCGTCGTCCCTGCCGTGCGATACCCGTGTGTGCAGCGTCCCTGCGTGCGTTGTCGCTGCCGTGCTACGTCCCTGCGTGCAACATGCCCTCTCGCTGCCCGAGCTCCACGGAAGCGTGGGGCACTGTGGCGGGCCGTCCTGCCGGGGGCGCAGCGTGGACATGCGCATAGGACCAAGGACACGGAGAAGCACTGAAGTCCACAGGGCGACATGGGAAAGAGAGATCGGACCGTTTCATGTCGCTCAAGGAGCTTCTGTGCTGCGGTCGCTCTGACGCCCCGTCGGCAGCACGTGGAAGCACGTTAAAGTACGTTCTCGGGCCCTGCCCGGACCCACGGAGTCAGAGACGTGGGGACGGGGCTCAGCGGTCCGTGCATGACACGCTGCGGTGGGATGAAAACCCGCGGCCATGCCGGTGGAGTCAACCAACCGTGGGTCAAAAATATTAGGAAAGAACCCCCAAATAACAACACAACAATGAAAATAATACACATTTTTAAAGCACAGTATGACAAATATCTCTGTAACATTGACACTGTAGTAGGTATTAGAAGTAATCTAGAGACGATTTCAAGTACAGTGTGCAGGAGCATGTGCGTACGTTATATGCAAACTCTCTGCTGTTGTATGTAAGGTCTCGGCATTCTCGGAATTCGGTACGGGGAAGAGAGGCCTGGAACTCATGCCCCCCTCAGTACTGAGGGACAATTATATTTGGTTTTTGTTCCAGGTTCCTGGCACAGAGTTCCTAACACCCTCGGGATTTCCTGAGTGTCTCTTGTTATTGAAATGAGCCCCTTTCAACCATACCTGAGTTTGTGGCAATGAGATGACTATTGGCAGGCCCCTAAGATAGCTCTGGGGGGCGCCGGTAGGCAGAGGAACCTGCCATATGATCAGAAGATCGGGACTCCCCTCCCCCACCCACCTCTAGGGAGAGCATAGAGGCTGGAGATCGAACTAATCACCAACAGCCAATGATTTACTCAGTCATGCTTATGCAATGGAAACCAGTATAAAAACCCCAAAACTGCCAAGTTCAGAGAGCTTCCAGGTTGTTGAATACATCTAGGTACTGGGAGGGCGGTGCGCTGAGAGGACCCGGAAGTTCTCTGCCCCTCTCCCCAGTACCTTGCCCTCTGCATCGCCTCCATGTGGCTTTCCTGAGTTGTAACCTTTATAACATGAATAAAAATAAAATCCTAAGCCCTTTCCCCCACCCCAACTGAACGGATCCCCTCTTGGCCAAGGGGACCCCAGAAAAACCCTAAAACTGTGTTCCTGGCAATAAAGAAAAAGGTCGGACACACCTTAGACAATAAGATACTAAATTATTAACAGGGACCGAGGCCATGCCCAGCAAAGGTTAAATCCCCTGCCCGCCATCAATTTGCTTAACAGATCACTTGAGTCGGTATATTGTGGCTTGTCTCTGATTAGCAGACTTCCTTATCTTAAAGTAAAACTTCCCAAGCCTCTAAACAAAGCTTCATTTCTTTAACCAATTACAAATTAAAGAATCTTTGAATGCACCTATAACCTGTAAGCAACCCCCCCAGAAGTCCCGCCTTTTTAGGCTGAACCAATGTACGCCTTCCGTGTATTAATTTATAATTTTACCTGCAATTCCTATCTCTCTAAAATGTGTAAAACCAAATTGTAACCTAACTGCTTTGGGACCACTTGCTCAAGACTTCTTGGGCGTTGCTCCCTGGGCCATGGCGGCACACATGTTTGACTCAGAATAAACCTCTTTGTATTACAGAGTTTGGGGATTTTTTTCCTTACCAATAATAACCTGACAATAGTAAATAAAGTGCTTTCCTGAGTTCTATCAATCATTCAAGCAAATTATCAAACCTGAGAGAGCTTCTATGGGAACCCTTAAATTTGCAGTTGGCTGGGCAGAAAGATGGGTAGCTTGGGCACCCCATTTGCAGCTGCCATCTGAAGTGTGGGCAGCCTTGTGGGACTGGACCGACCTGTGAGGTGTGTGCTAACTGTAGAGAGTGTCGGAATTGAGCTGG